TTTCCAAGCTGTCCAGGAACGACGAGGAATGGTGGAAGAGCGAAGCGCAACCTGGCCATCCTGGCTGGTCCAGGGCGATGCTAGATCGCGACATGGGTAAGCTGCAGTCTGCGAGTGAGCCACCACAACACGCATTGGCGCAGATTGGCTGATCGCGCTCGATGGGATTGGTCTCTCTCAAACAGACATCCATGTGGACTCTTCTTTGCTGCCTACTCTCGAAGACGAAGGCGAGCTTCTGCCCTCGGCAGCACATCCTTCGTACCCCACTGGACGTCCACGTCGCAACGTCATACCATATGTCAGCGAGCCAAAGCTGTCACCGCTTCTGCACAACAATCTCGCATTGCTGAACGGCACGCGCGGTGGAGGAGCAGGACATTCAGGGAGGGGAATGGGCGAAGGTGGCGATAAAGACGCCAACGAAGGCAGCGAGGCGGCACTCAAGAAGCCCTTGGTGGAGCTCCCAGCTCATTTGGCCCTTCGAGCAGCTACAGATGTAGCTCCTCATCGCTCGGCATGGCCCTTCAAGGCCTATGGACCAGGTCCAGGGGGTGCATCTAGCCTGCAGAGGTTCGAGCAGCGTCATCCTCAGCGGGCAGAGCGAGAGATTTGGGCAGATCTGGGTCTTTCCGAATTTCTACCAAGAGGTCGAGAAGGCGATCCGCTACGAAGCTGTGTTGGAGATGCGCGTCACGAACTACCAGATTTTGGCGGGGTTGACGCGGATGCATCGCAAGCGATCGCTTCCCTGGCTGCGGAAGGCGGGACTTCTACCGATGCTAGGCAACGAGCTTCGCTTCTTCTCGACAGCGGCATCTCTCGTGCGGAGACCGCAAGAAGAGAATTGCAGCGCTTGGAAGCGGAGCTAGATCATACCGAGGCCCTGGGGCATCCCACCGATGAGCTGTTGGACGGCTGGACAGACTTTGAACTTCACGCTGGCAGGATGGAAGCTCGCTGGGGAGCGACCAGGCCGTCGATGCGGTTGATCGCAAGCGGGCCAGTTGCGAGCTCGCATGCGGTCGGCGAAGATCTGGCTAGGCGTCAGCCGACAGAAGGGCTCTCGCGGTAATGTCGTACTGGAAGTAATGCTTGTTGTGCGATGGATGAACGACGACCTTGCCGCGATCCCGCACGCTTCGCTCACGCAGCACCAGCGCTTGGTTATCTAGCACACCAGCTTGGCTTGTATGCTGGGTCGCACCGTATTGATGACAGCTCGAAAAGATCAATAAACTGCGCATAAGAAGTGGCGAGCAACTTTGATCAGATGGCACTTTGGGACCGCGACTGCGCCGACGCACCTCTTCGTCTGTGATTTTTTGACCGGCGAATCGCTCATACTCGGCATAGATCGAGGTCAAGGTCCAACCTTGGAGCTTACGTACGAGTGCTGCGAACACTCCAACCCGATATTTGCCTAGTGTGGGATGTCAATCTGCAGCTTGAGCGATGGTCTCAATGGCGATCGGCTGGAACAGCTCAGACCCACCTTTGTTGCAATGTACGAGCATTGGCAAGTTTCTACGATCGAGCAGGTCGCCCATCGCCGCAGCCACGGCATCGGGCTCCACTGCCAGCGATGAAGACGAGTCAATGTCACTTACCCTGCAAGCTGCGCCTTGGGATCACCGAGCTCACTCTCTGCGAAAGGTTCCTTGTTGACGCTGATGCGGTGATGCAAAACCTTGACTTTATTCTCTTCTGCCCATGAGACGACGTGCGGACGGTAGTCCTCGGCTGCGAGGTACCTGACGAAGAGCAAGAAGCGCACTTACGCTGGAATGAGGTGACGCTGACAACAACGTGCCAGACTGGCATGCAGAGGACTCACATGATGCTCTTGAGGCCAAGTCTGCGCATGAATTCGAAGTTGCGCTCGTTGGGATGACCAGATCTGTACACGCCCGGCACAACCATGTCGAAGTTGAGGGGAGGCACAACGAGAGCTTGAGCTGCCCAAATGTCCAGGGTGGCGCCTACGGGAGCAGCAGCAGCCAAGCCGCCCTTGGAGACCCGTGTAAGCTTGACATGGTCCGAGGACGTCGCTGAACCTGAGACGGCCGGCTGACCGAGCGGCTGAGCCTTCGACTCTCTGACATCCTTGCCGTGTGTGGTAGAGTCGGCTGTAGTTGGACTGCTTGAAACGTTGCTCTGAATATCCGCAACGACGGTTGTGCCTGCAACGTCAAAGGTAGGAGCAGGAGGTGCAGAAGCAGAGGCAGGGCGCGCTCCAGCTGGTACCGCGAGGCTTGATACGGCTTCCTCTCCAAGCTGAGCTGAAAAGGAGGCTGCTAGGAAGGGTGGGACTTGAGCGGTCGCCGGCATGCTTGACAATACGCAACGCCTTGAAGGGGGCAGACCAAGTCCAGTGTGTGAATCACCTTCTCTTTGCTGGCCCACGTTTAAAATTGGTGGCACATCGCCGGCCGCGCGTTCCAACTCAAGACTTGATGATCGTCTCGAATTTTGAAAGCTGGATGGTCCCGATGCGAGTTACAGCTGGGAGTCCTGAGTGAGTCTCAAGACTGGTGGGCGCATGCGTGAAGCGCTATGCAGGTCGAATATGGTCCATGCGCAGTCACGTGAGCTCCTTCCAGCATAATCTTGTGTCGCGCGAGAAAAGGGTCAGGCCGATCAAGAGTTAAAAATGAAAATCTCGGTGCGCTATATCTTCAATGCGAATTTGTCTCGAGATTGCGATTCAAAGGGGCGGTGCATATCAGACACGAGCTTATAAAATTGAATATGCAAGGAAGCAAGGGGCCGGGAGCAGCTGAAGATGAAATCGTGAATTTTGCCACGCGCATGCGACGCCAACGCGAGAGCGAACGCCTGACTACTCTGATGACTCGTGATGACTGCTGATGGATGCTGCAAGTTTTGTGCGAGCGCACGCGCTTCCCCCCCCCCTTGCCGCGCTCCCCGTCGTGGCCGCGCGAGCCCTTTTCTTCGTGGCGCCTAGTGCTGGATTGCCGCCTGTGCATCAGCTGCTGGTGCCCATGCAGCAGCAGCAGCTGCAGCAGCAGGTCCAGTTCAGTGTGCTGCTGC